GATGAAAACGCTGTCTCGCATATGTAAGTACTTGCAAAAACAGAGCAAAGTTTGAGAGCCCAATTTCGTAACAGTGGGTAACGTTCTGGTGAAAGCAGTTTCCAAAAGTCAATTCCAGTAACCTGAGATGTGTTTAAGGATGGGTCACATTGAAGTTCACAAAGCTCTAATTGCAGATGACCTGGCTGAGATTCTATATCACAATGTATAGGATTACTGAATAAAGAAATATCAGGTCGAAAGCTTTCAAAATCGTTAAATCGTCGGTCAAACTCTGAAGACAGATCTTCAATAATTTCAGTGTAGTCGCTAAACTCCAAGCCTTCTTCTTCTTCTGAGAGTTTCTGACAGCAAGGGAAATGTAGAAGGTTATTTTTGTCCAATCCCATCCCTGCGAGCAAGCTGGGAATGGTTATTATTTTGAAGGTGTCATAAATCCTTCACCACTATGGTCTTCAGTGTCATCTCCCTACAGAAGTAGGGCTGGGGGACTTGGAATTTCCATGACATGAACACAGTTATTAGAAAACAGTTCGAACTGTCCAACTCGGTAAGAACGTATACAGTCAATTGCAAAATGCTGTAAGCTAATGAAACGTCCTATTAAAAACTGAATTCTATGCCAATACAGCTGTGAAGTTAAGGTTTTTGAAAATAAACCTGAGACTTGGCAGGGGGCCGGAGTAAATCAAGTCGCGGGCCGTATTCGGCCCTTGGGTCGCCAGTTGGCCATTGCTGGCCTAAACTATTAGACTGATTTCTTGCAAAATTTATGTCTGATTTTGAGCCATATTGATTCCTAATATAGTCAGTTTTACATAGCCCATAAATAGATAGACTGCAGGTAAGCATGATAAAATGTTAAGTACCCTGTTGGGAATTTTCTATAAAACTTCATAGAATACACACCGTTTCGAGTTCTGTATATCACAAACTTAGTGTAGTTAAAATCTGTACAAGTGGATATTATGCTTAGGTATATATCACTATCTTCCTGTGTGGTACAGCAGACCATTTCAGTCCCAGGGCCTCCCATCTGCCAGAAATTCAGAATCTTTATGGACATTTGATAGGACTTCTTGGATTAATTCATCTCACAGCCTTTATGTATACAAGAAAAACAGACATGCATCCATGTGTGGAGTGAGATTTGAACCCAGAATCCCAGTGTTCAGACAGTAGAAGACAATCCATGATTTGTACTGCATGGCCACTGTGACGAGTATTATGTGTGATTGAAATTAATAATTATTGCTTTGTCGTTTTTGTTAGCTTCATCATACAGAATGATGCCCCTGAACAAATGTGGTCATCATCAGTAGTTCCCAGAAATGTCTCTTCAAGTTGATTGCATGTTATGGTTCCTATGATGCATACATCAACCATGGATGATGGAACAGTAAAAGAGTAATGAGTGTGTCTGTGTTTATTCAGATTGGTTCCGAATCTTGTGGCCCTAATTCTGTTCTGTACCTTCATATTGCCATGGATTGGCACTGGTCCTCTGTGGAACCAAGTTGTACGACATCATTCTGATATCTGCAAGACCACCTGGTGGAGGAACTTACTTTTTATTCATAACTATTTTGGGTTTGAAACTATGGTAAGTCTGACAGTAATACAAACTTATGAAATGATTCTGAAGCGGTCTGACAGTAGCATATTACACTACCCATTTCTTGGTTTCTGGATTTTTTCTATCATATAATATTTTGAACAAAGCACAGTGTTTGGGGCACTGGATCCATTTTCCACCTGATAATGAAAAAAGGTCAACTTTCTAAACTGTTGCATTCTGTTTGAAATACAGTGAACGTATCCAGAAATTCATAAGAACCTCAGCACTATTCTTGTGTGTGTGCTCGCGTGCGCGTGCGTGTGTGTGTGCGTGCATGCGTGCGTGATTTTTTGAGAATGATGATTACTGTTGCAGTACTTTTTAAGTTTGCCGAAAAAGTTCTGTTAGCTTATCTGCAGTTAAAAGCAATTAGGAATTTACATTAAAATGGAAAAGTGGTTGTTTCAATCTCAGCTGTTCCCTAGTATATACATTTATTTGTTTATTCTTTTCTGCTTTATGAAAAGATGGTTTTCATTCATTCATTTATTTATAGTTCCAAAAAATCCATAGAGGCATTTGCCTCAGATATAGAACAAGTCAACAATACAATATAACATATAAATATACATACATAATCAGATAGTCATCATCGTCAAAATTTAAATACTCAATACAACAAAACTACTGTACAGCAATACATTCCATATATCAAAATAACATATAAAGTTACATACACGATCAAAAGACCACCAAGATCCTTAATATAGTAATATGAAATCTATTTTCTTAATATATAATACACCTGTATCATAACAGTAATAGCACCTTTTTCCTGAGTATTTATTCCATAGTCCATTGCATTCTAGCAATAGGCAACAGTGTTTATTTAAATATACATTTTATTCATTCATTCATTTATTTATTTATTACAGTTAAAAAATCCACAAAGGGGTCTACTTCAAATATAGAAGAAGTCAGCAGCGCAATATAACACATAAATATACATGCATAATCAGATAGTCATCATCATCAAAATTTGAATTACAATACAACAAAACTACTGTACAACAATAC